TGAACACTTGCGCTGAGAAAAGTAGCCAGCTCATTGAATTACCCATGGTCGCTTTCCCCTGACAGCCTGGCAGGTCAAGAGGAATTGCATCACAGTGAGGCAGGCGGGTCAAATGGGTGCGTATATTAGGGTGCGTGGATGTTTGTTGGTTGGTTGGTTGGGTTGGGTTGGTTAAGGCTAGGCGGCAACAGTTTGGCCACGCCACTTGCAGTGGCCCTCTATGAGGTTTGTTCAAGCAGAAAACGGCTGGAGCCCGGTGCTCTGAAAGCTTTGTTGAAGGGGTCATGCACGGGCAACCAGTCACCTGCATCCCCAAGTAGCCACTTTTTCCTGCCACTGTACCCACTAGTAGTGCATACTTTGGCAAAAGTAGCTGGAAAATAAGGGCAACTGGGGATCCAGTCATGGCCAATTTGTTAACACGGCAGCCCGCAAAGCCAAGCCACGCATTGCTGGAGCTGGCGCTCTTAGCAATCCCGTGCGCTCCGAATCATCTAACTGCGCACCTGGCAATGCCTGGCGACTTCAGTGACCTGGTTGCCCTTTTACCTTGGGTTTGCTTGATCTGTTTTTTGGCAGTGCCAAACACCAAACACCCGTTGGCTGAGCCAGGGGAGGTGGAATGCAGATCCGCAGTCGGTGGATGCAAGCTGCCAACGTGTGGATTTGGCGGCCCAGACGTGCCCAGGTGCTCGCATGCGGACGACCGCCGCAAGTGCGCGGCGATGCAGCAGGTTTACTCAATGTCCCAAGACTTGCTGTCACAGATCAAACTCGTGCCGGACCTGCAGTGACAACTGCCCGGAACAGCTTGCCCGGTGAATGGAGCAGTCAGCGCCAGCTCTCGCACAGACGAAGTGTCGAAAGCGGCCAAGCCGTTTGCGAGCGCCACAGGCGCTCGAAGGTGGTGGCAGTTCTTTGGGCCCTGCGACTACCGCGCATGCCGTGGCCGTCACACTTGGATAGCAACCGTAGCAAAAGGAGTTTTCACCATGGCAGATAGGTTTCGAAAAACGGGGACCAAAAATATCGTCCGTACAGGCCCTACACCCACTAGGAGGCTCGGATCCGGGTTCCTGCCCTGCTCACGCAAAAACGACATTGTTCTACTTTTAGGGAACGCCGCGCCTTTTAGGCAAAGGACAGTTTGAGATTCTACCTGGATCCCCAGTTGCCCTTATTTTCCAGCTACTGTTGGCCATATTATGGGCTATTAGTGGGTAAAGTGGGTGGAAAAAGTGGTTCCGTGGGGATCCCGGTATGTTCAAGGGTTTGGCTCAGCCTGGGGTTTGGGCAGGGGCGGCGCCAACTTTTTGACTTCCTTCGGCGAGAAGTTGTCGGTGAAGAGCGAGCCTGAGGACCTCCGGACATGGTTGTGCCTTTTTATTGAGGCTGGGGACCCTGTTTAGGGTTTTTGAAGGGCTGCCAGCAGGAAAATCTATTTTTTGGGGGGATGATCCGCCTATGTTACGAGACACTCATATGGTGGGGGGGTTCTTTAACTTGCGCACCAGCAGGGAAGTTTCGGCAATGCCTAGGAGGCGATCAAGTTTTTTGTTGTTGCGGTGGTTGAGCGTCCGGTTTTTGCCATCCGCTTCTTAAAGAAGCGTCAAACGGTGTCGGGAAGAAGTCCTCCGGGATGAGGCTGATCCTTCTCAGAGAAGGGTGGCAAAAGGACCTGCACGCAAAAAGGAAGAGGTTCCAGGCTTGCACCAGGACGATCATGTGTGCAAGCATCCTCAGATTTTGTTGGTTAGAACCCATTCCAGGGGCGCTGGGGATGTCGCCCTGAAGGGTGAAGAGCAGGACAGCCAAACAGTTCGCAGGGGTTCATTGGAATTAAGGATGCAAGATAGCTACTCCCCAACACGGGAAACATGGATTGTCCCATGATCCCATGATTCCGACGTTAGGCGATGTTTTGGGTTACTTGATCCGCTGAAGCGGTGTTTGGGCCTAGCGAGAAATGGCAACAAGCAGGCGTATGATTTGAGTTGGCCAATTTCAATCTTGGATTTTTTTAGATTTCTTCAACTAGTGAGTTGGAAAAGATGAACTAGTTAAGCTTTCTCTTGGTGCTACATGGTAATTTCCCCTTTGAGGAAACGCAGGGGTTGATGTGTGTTGTCTTTGGTGCATTTTTTGCTTGGATGTTAGGACTTTAACTTTTTGCCAACTAATGGGGTTTCCATTAATCCACTAAAAGTTAAACTTTCAGCAGGGGAGCAGAAACCAACCGAGTTGTTTTGCAGACCCCCTACAAAGCACCAAGTTCTAGATTTCATTCGCACAATTTACACGAGCCTCCTGGCCGGAAAGGTCAGACGCCTTGCGTCACTCTGAGAAGTTACCCCAGAGTCAGCCTGGGGGCCAAAACCTTAAGCGCCTTTTGCTGCCGGGTTTCCAGTTGAACATGAACTGACCAAAAACCGGGTGTCCTTGTCTTTCAAGCATAGGAGGTCTGTTTTTTTTTGTTGTGGCCCGTGAAGGGGCGGGTTTGTCTCGTCGCCTTTTGCTTGAAGTGATGTCCCTGATCCTTCTCACTTGATTGGCAACAAGTCTGATTTTTTTTTGCTACTAGTGGGTGTCTTTTGGTTGTGGCTCGCTGACTTTTTCTTGCGTTGGTAGAGGGGGATATCAAAGGGAAGTAGCTGTTTGCTTCCCAATTTTGTGAGTCACACCCGCTAAAGATGTTGTCTTCCCAACGAGTTTGTTGGGTCCAGACTGTTCAGACGCTTGGGCGGCTTCCTGGACCCCCAAGTGGCCCCTGTTTTTTGTTGCCTTTGTACCCCTTCTTTCTGGGTCAAAGGCAGAAAAAATTGGCTTTTGGGGGGTCCAGTATCGTGTGAGGATCCAGCTGCCCAGCAGATCTTCACCATCTACCGCGACGGCGCGCTAGTCCTAGACTTCCACTCGGCCCACAGCACTGGGCGCAAGCCGGTCAGGACAGTGGGCGGAAGGTTTTGGTTCAGCAAGCCGCACGCGGTTTCTGTTTGTAAAGGTGCATAGGGCCCCCAGCTGGGTGCCCCTTTACCCATTTTTTTGGGGGGAGGGTTCCCTTATTCTTAGCGCTCTACTGGAGGACCTAGTGTTGCAGGGGTTGTTTTGCAAGACGAAAGGACAACAAATTGGGAAAGGCACATGGGGATGTTTGCTTTTGAAGGTGCCCTATTCCTGTGATTTCCCTCCAGCACAACCCCTAAAGCCGCCGCACCTTCATGCCTTTGGGGTTGCTGTTCCTTGAAGTTTCCCCGTAAACGCCCCGACCATTTCGGCGTAAACCTTTTGGGCGTTTATCAAAACCTACTGGGCTCATGTTGATTGCCTCTGGGGTTGTGAAAGTTAGGGACTGGTGGTTGTTTCCCTCCAGCCTACCACTTAGAGGATGACTTTTGACAAAGTGGCAGTCAGAATTGTTGTTTCCTTTCGGCTTGCCTGCAAGCACCAACCGACAGGGGGCTAACCATGTTGAGATGCCGCCATATTCATGTTGCCGGGTGTTCTTTTGTGTTGGCCCCAAGCAGTTTGATTCTGCTTTGGTCACCCCTTTGTAGAAAATCAATCTGCTCAATTCGGTTGCTCGCTTCCCGAGTTGGGCTTTGGTCGCTTTTTGGGAAGACCACTGTGGCAAGATTTGTGGGCTCGGTGAATTCCTTTTGGAGGGTGCCTGGATCCCCAAGTAGCCACTTTTTTTCCAGCCACTTTATCCACTAGTAGACCATAATTGGGCAAAAGTAGCTGGACAAAAGTGGCTACTTGTGGATCCAGGTACCGGAATTCCTTTCTCGGGAAAGGGAAACCAATCCACAGCTCGAGGACATTGGCCTTGGAGACCTCTGATGAGATCCTTCGGAAGACCATGATGGAGGCACGGGGGAGCGGGGGGGGGGGTGGGTGGGTGGGTGGGTGGGGTTTTGGGGGCTCCACAATTTTTTGCCATGGTGAAACGACCCATTGTTGGCGGGTTGGCAGGGATGAACCCTTGGGTTTGGACATAGCCATTGTCAGGGTTCTTGTTGAAGCAACGCTTTTAGACATTGAATCAGGTCCCTCTTAAAGCAACCATGCCTTAAGGAGTTTGACCATGGTACATGTCGCACAGGGCAATGACCCGCTTTTGGGCACAAGGGTCCATGACTACATGACATGTTCTCTTGTTGGTATCAAGCATCAGTTTTCAGCGACTCCTGTAGAATGTAGCCCTGGTGGTTTCCGGCTCGTTTTGAATCCCTGGCATGATTTCTGGTTCTATTGTGAGCAACGTTTTTCGCCCGAGGGAGCCACTTCGTTTTTTTTGGTAGGAAGCCCAAGCCAACTCAAGCCGTCCCCAACGGCGCCAAAACATGGATTTCTCACTATGCGAATCCAACGGATCTGGCCGTTAGCTTCCTCTTTCCATGTTTAGAGGTTGCCAAAGGTGATCACCGTTGGTTTCTGGGTCCGAACTGGACAAGTCAGATGTTCGTAGCATCCGCCCTTTCAGGAACATCACACATTGCCACTTTTTGCAAGTCAGATCATGGTTAAGAGTTTGAAGTTGAGTTGGACTCGCAGCGGCTTCCCCCAGCGGATGTTGCACGTTTTGTGCACTGCTCCTGGGCCGGTCCCTTCAACTCCCTGAGTCTTCCACAAGCTTCCAAACCCAAACCTCAATCATCGTTCCCCCGTTCCCTTGTTTTTCTCAGTGGGCAACTGAAAAGTGAAGGCGGTGGAAAGGCCATTTTTCACAGATTCTCACTCACCAGAGGTGACTGGTGCCATGGTTTGAAAACATGACTTTCATGTTTCGTTCGGCATGGGCCGGTGTTTCAGAAAGCTGTAAGCATTGGCCAGGGCAATCGAGCTCTCGGGTCCAAAAGTCAGTTTGTGAGCTGTCCCATTTGTTTGGTTTTATTTTAGCCAGCGTCTGTGGCTCAAAGATTGGAAGCCCCAAAATGGCAACTTGGTAAAAGAAAACGACTCAACCTAGCGGATTTCTCTCGCAAATTCCTCTTTCGGCCATGGCGGACTACGACTATCTCTTCAAGATTCTTCTCCTCGGGGACTCGGGCGTCGGCAAGAGCTGCCTCTTGCTGCGCTTCGCGGACGACACCTACACGGACACTTATAGTTGCTCCGTCATGGTCTCTACCTGGACTCTCCTTCTGACCCTTAAATGGACCCTTACAAAATGGTTGGTCGTTGCCCCAAATAATGGGGTCATGGACCCATTTTTACAGGGACATGGAGACTCCAGGTGCGAGCGGTTTCCTCATTGCCTGTCTTTCTTTTTTCGACATGCTTTTGACTTGGGTTGCCAAAGTTGTCAATGCCGGGAAATATGGCCACGGGTCAAAAGCCCGCACCCCCAGTGAACATCCAATCCTACCACTAAAATAGACTAAAATGGGTTTGGTACCGTTGGTTTTGACCCACAGCCATATCTTGCGCTTGCAATCTTGGGGCATTCACTTCCGGTGCTTGAGGACAGCTTCGTGTGTACCATCGGCGTGGACTTCAAGATCCGCACCTTCAGACAAGGCTCCACGGTCATCAAGCTGCAGATGTGGGACACCGCGGGCCAGGAACGGTTCCGTGCTCACGCCGGCAACTCCTTCCGGACTCCTGGCAAGCTTCATTTTGTCGCAGGCATAGGCCCGCACACCGGACCCAAGGGCGGCATTTTGGACAGCTCTTACACTATCCCCAGTAGTGCCCTTTTACCCTTATTTGGGGGAGGGTTCCCCTACTAAAATGGACTACAGAAAAAAGGGTACCCTTATTCTAACCCCTCTAATGGAGGACCTAGTATAGTTTTCAGGGGGGAAGGGCGGTGTTGGAGCGAAATATGTTACATCCCACTAAAGGTTTGACTCTTGAGGGATCAAACAACTAAGGAACGTGAACGGCGTGATGGTGGTCTACGACGTCACGGACAAGGCGTCCTTTAACAACGTGAAGCACTGGCTGCAGCAGGTTGACCGGAGTACGGAGGGCGTCAATACGCTGTTGGTGGGAAACAAGTGTGACTTTTCCTCCAGGAGCGGGGATGGGGAACAGCAGCATTTGGCTCGTTTTGCCGCAATTCAATAGTAACAATAATAGTAAAGTAAACATAGTAGTGAATCATAGCGTGCAAAAACCGTATATACATTTTAATATTAATCTTATCCCCCGTTTCGCGAGAGCAACCCTGAGGGCTGTATCCTTTGATGAGGGCCAGGAGATGGCGGACTTGTGGGGCGTCCAGTTCCTGGAAACCAGCGCTAAGACGGCCCACAACGTGCAGGCGGCCTTTGAGACCATGGCGCAAGACATCCTTCAGCGAGTCCAACGGCAGGGCCCTGCAGCCGTCAGAAACCTGGTCAGCAGCGAGCAAACCGCACGAGAGCCTCGTGACAGATGCTACGGGTGAGGCGAGCTGCGGTCGTTTTTGACATGGTGTTGCAGTTTGAGGTTAACGAATTGTGGGGTGTTTGCTACTCCAAACAGTGATCTGCCATTTTTTCAGAAACCCGAGGTGACCTCACCCTTTTGGGACCTCGTTTGACATGCTTGAGATTCGCCAAACAATCTAGCCCAGGACCCCCCAATGCCTGGCAGATAACTCCAAAACAGTCATTGGGAGGTGATTCCACAGACCGTTTGCTAGCCATTGGGGGGTCCTGGGCGTTTTTGTTTTTTTTTCCTGGGATGAGGCAAAGCTGAAGCTGTTGGTCTGGGCGGTTTTGTGCATATCGAAACGATCCGGACAGGTTCATGCTGTGCCCACACTGGTGGTTTCGTACGTTTTCCCATGCTCATGGCCCTGTAACAACGGCGATTCAGGTTGTCAATGGCCAAAGGGAGCAAGGATAGAGTTGCGAGACCCTCTCTCCATGGCTTTGGGCCTTGCATTCCCTGAGGTTTGCCAGAGT